GAAAAGTAATTTCCTATCATATAATTTTAAAACTAATAAACTTTGTTATTTGAAATTTAAACCATAAATGTATTTTATAAAGATGTTTCAATAGTTTTAAACGTTTTGTCAGGAATATGTTCTTGAAAATTTTTAATCAAATTTTAATTTTAACACGTCAAAAGTAAAAAAAAAATAATAATGATTCGTTTAACGTGAATATGCTCCTCATATTTTTATATAAATATTTCATTTTATAAAAATTAACTTAGACTAAATACCAATTCTAAATGATAAAGTAATCACAATTTCATCCTGTAAGATCTTATTAACAATATTTATGAAAACTTAATAATTATAAATTAAGTTTTAATTAAATATGAAGGCCTGTGACAGGGTTTGACAGGGTGTATATTAGCTCTTTTTAAGCAACCCCTGACGATAACATTGTATAAAATAAATGGATGAATAAAATTATTTGTTCGCATAAAATTTAATTAAATTTTATTTTACGATGTAGAAATTAATAAATAAATTATAAAAAACAAAATATTAACATAAACACTATTCAAACCGGCCACTCTAAGGTTTAAATTTGATATTAATTTTATAACAAATATAATAATTAATAATATAAAAATTCCAAAAAGTGCTATATAACTTACAATGTGTATCTTTATAAATAAAATGGGAATATATATAATGATGAATTCAAATATTGCGATTTTGATGCCACTTTAAATCGCAAATAATAACCAAAAGATCGTTCAAAATGTTGCGATAAGATAGTTGCGTTAAATAGAATACTAAAAAACAACCGCAAATAACTTTCCGATTCATTTATTATTCTCAATATCTTCTAAATTTAAAGCTGCATACTTGTTTCACTATAGTACTCACTCAGCCAACAAATTGTGAGATGAATACCGTAAAATCAGAAAAAATGTCATTTAATAAGCTATATTTAAGAAAAATTTTTTAAGAAAATTTAAGCCTACACTTGACAGGAAATATTTTTAGAAATTATCTTTTCATAAATAGATTATGAAGATGTACAAATTAAATAGATGGATTACCAAGTTGACCTCCTCGCCCCCCCCCAATCTATGTTTTTAAAATATTAGTTAAAATTAAATGATATTTATATTTTTAAAAAATGTAATAAATGGAATAGAAAATATAAATGGTGAGTTCTATATTAGTATTTTCAATCATACCCTCAGATTTCCATAATTTTAATAGTTTAGATATATGAATCGCATTCGGATATAAAGTACTCGCAGAATCAGATCTAAATTAAATTTTACTGACGTCGATTCTTAAATTTAAAATATACTATTAAATCGAATTCCAGCGTGTGTTGAAGACGCACTCTATAAATTTCAGACAAATTCGTTATAAACATATGAGTATTTTACAATTATGAAATATTTATATAAAAATATACATAAATTAAAACTATTTCAGCAGGTTTCAGAAAATTTACAGTGTTGGTATTTGTTGAAATACACATTCGGGCAAACAAGATTTTTGAGATTTAAAAATTGTTCTCAGAAGGATTAATGAATTCGATATTAGATACCATATAGTATTTACCTATTTAACTAGAAAAAATTAAATGTTAACTCCAACTCTAAAGAGTGGCTGCGATACGAGCCTATGAATGACAAATAAATATGTTATTGGGCAAAGGGTACTCACTTGGATTTTAGGGATCTTTCGATATAATTGATTGAGAAGCAAAAATAGATGCATATAAGGGGGAGTCACTATACTGTACTTGTTAATTTTAAATATATGACACTATTTTATAAGCAATTTATTTAAAAATATCGGAAAGCGAAAGAATACCAGGTGATTAAGAACAAGATGGTCAATTTGAGATGCCATATTTTAATTTAGAAACTTGACTGGCTGTGTCCAAAATATCAAAAAAAAAAAATTCATACTTTTAAATTTAAAGGAACAGAGATTTGAATTGGCAATCCAAAATTACTGAAATCAACATTATAGATCATGATTAACCTTATTACCCACACCCCCCACCCATCCTCTTCTCCAAAAAAAATATGACTCGAAAATCTATAAAATGTATTGTAAACTAATTTTATTTTCTAACAAATTTTTAAAAATAGATATTTTTAATTTACTTTGCAAGGTACGACCCGAGCCCCTCCCCACGATATTAGAATTTATTTTGCTCTTAGGTGTGTCTAATTAATAAAAATAATTTTGGATCGGACATGAAAAATATTTTTTTAAATTTCAAACAAGCCCTTTTTTGGCCAATCTGATGCAGATCACTAATTTACATTCATTGTATTTTATTTGTATATATAAATTTTCTAAATAATTTTATATTATTTGTATATATAATTTTCAAAACATTTTGAATTTGACGGATAAAATATTATAATTTCATGAATAAGATTTTTTTTATTTTAAATTTTATTTATTAAAAAATAAAATAGTAACTAAACTAAGATTATATGTGTTGTATTATAATAAATATTTATTTATTATATAAAGAATAATATTTAAGAGAAATATATTATATTTTGTAAAAATCGGCGTTTATTGATTATTCTTTTTTTGGTTGTAAATTAAAAATATTTCGTATTTGACTCTAAGAAAATCCAAAAGATTAAAAAGTGCCTTATTACTACTTCTTACATTTCTTACAATATGTATGCCTAGAGATTTTGCTATTAGATGGCAGAAACGTTATGACTATTATTTGCCAAACTCGAGATTACATAAAATTATTTTGACAGATATCTTTATCGGGTCATTTTTAAATCATGCGAAAATAATTTATTAAGATGGAAAATTGAATTCAATATTAAAAAAATGAAATAATACAAACAGATAAAGTCAAGGGTTAGCATAAATAAAATAGGTAAAAAAAAAAGGCAATACTACTATATATGCCTTATCTTATTTAAAATACTGTCAGAAAAGTATTCATCCTTGTATATGATTATACTGATATATAAGAATTTGAAGTTATATATGAATTTAAACAAAAAATACGATGATTATATATAAATATTTTTAATGAAATTTCCTGGAAACTTACATTTAGCTTTAAAATAATGCAAAATAAATTGTAAAAATGCTTTAAAATTAGGCGATTTTGAGTCTACGTTAAATCACAAATAATTATTTTTAAAGAATCGTTCAAATTGGTGTGAAACAATCCTTGCATTAAATAGCATATTAAAAAATACCAAATGACTTTCCAATTCATTTATTATCCTTAATATTGCCTAAATTTAAAACGGCATTCATTATTCACTATAGTACTCAGTCAACAAATTGTTGGATGAATACCATAAAAATCAGAAAAAAATATCATTTTATATGCTATATTTAATAAATTATTCTTAAAAAAATTTTAAGCTTGGCCCAAAATATTTTTAGATATTTAAGTTTCCATATAATTATCTCTTCATAGATTGATTGTAAGGCTACATTGAATAAATAGATTCTCAAGTTTACCTCCCTCACCCCCATCCCATCAAATTTTTAAATTAGAAGATATTTTTACTAAAAAAATTTGAAAAAAAAATGGAATAGATTATATAAATAATGAATCCCATGATATTTACAAATAGACCCCTTTCAGATTTTTACATTTTGGATATGTCATGTCCTATTGGGATATATAGCTCTCAATCAAAACATCTTAATTTTGTATTATCTACTGACGGCGATTCTTAAATGTAAAAATTCCGATTAAACAGTATTCCAGCATTTGTAGACGACCAACTCTAATTTTAAAGAACACTTTAGGAAAAGTAGGATTTTAGAAATTTTAAAATTGTTCTCAGAAAGGATTAAAAATTGAGTGATTCCGAATTCCAATGAAATCGATAGACTTAATATTTACTATATAATCAAGAAAAAATTAAAATGTTCTACTCCAACTCTAAACAGTGGCTGCGACACGGCCTATCAATGCCAAATAAATGTTGTATTTTGGATAAAAGATACTCTCTTCTATTTTAGATATCTTAGATTATAATTGTGCTAGATGCAAAAATAAACAAGTTAGATAGCGCTTCTGCCCTCTAGCGGTGAAGGTTCAACAGAGCTACGCTAGGTTTTCCTCATTTCCATCTAATTGGAATAATTTAATTTGGGTAAGAAGTAAAAATATGAGGAGCCCTCTACCGGTTTGTGGGCAAGACACACGTACTTGTAGGCACAACATTCCGATAAATTTAAACCTCTATAGGCTTAATAAAAAGGTGTGGGGCAAAAAAGAGCCTATACCCGAGAACTACAGTATAATTTAATTACTTTAAAGGTGGGTGATGGCTGATTTTAAGCTTAATTTCTTTAGTGTAAGTTATGATTACAATATTGAGATATAATGTTCATAGAATCTGTAAATAAACATGATTAAAATAAAAAAAATATTTGCATGATTCAACCCATACAATACAATTCTATCACTTCAAATTTCCCACCGGATGAAACCGCCATTTAGTGGACAATATTTTCCAGTCATCATTATGTTACTCAAATAATCTCATGAACATATGAGGGGTGTATATCGCAAAAAATTTTGCCGATTTTTAGGAGATACATGCTTAAAAAGCTTTTTAATGAATGAATTGTGAGTCTAGGTATTATTATATATCATTGAGACTATAATTTTAATTTTGGATAAATTTGATTTATACGATAAAACATTTTATTTATATATTCAATATCTAATTTTGGTGGTAAGGCTAAAGTCGGCATTAATTACATTTTTTTATATTTAATGTATTATATTTATTTGGGCTAGGAATTTTATGAGAATTATTCCAAACTGAATTTATCCGAAGCAATCCAAACTGAATTTATCCGAAGCAAGCTGAGATGGAGCCTTCAATTAACTGTATTTTTCCGCTTCGATTTTTTTTCAGAATTTTTTAAGACTATAAAATAAAAATAAATTTTTCCTGTCAATTCTCAATTTACCTGTCAATTATCGGTTTAGTTATACCTCTATCTTTATCGACCATTTCATGGAAACCAAAACTCATACATCTTTTCTTGCATACTTAGATCGCATTTTTGATATTAATATTAACAAGCATATAATATTACAAGATCATTCTTACTTTCGCAATTTTGGAACATACCATTATCCAAGCTTATATTCATTTCCTACCCAATATCTATTTAAAAATAGTCAGCAAAAAATTTCAGATCTCTCATACAAGTTTATATTTCATATTTATTTTTTGATTATTTTTTTATACAGTGATGAGGATATAATTGATGTAGTAGGTGTTAATGAACATAAAATAACAGGATCTAATAAATCTCTTGTCCAATTAAAATTGGAAGAAGCCAAAACTAATGGATTAATTATTAGTAGGGATGACCAATATGAGGATGAATGGGAATTTAATTTAATAAAGTTATAATTTATTTTAGATTTATATACAATTATTGTATTAGATTTACTTGGAGTCCAGCAGAAGTTAATATATTTGATTGCACCTTATCAATCCTCTTGGATTATAAACTTAGTGTATTATCCATAAATAATGTATGAAATTTTAGTGCAATTAATTATATGAAATTTTTATAGACTATAACACAAATATCCAAAATAACTATATACTTAGAAAAATATAGTCAAGCCTTAAGAGAAATATTCATTGATAATAATTGGGTAAATTCAATTTATTTTTTTATAAACATATTTTTCTATTAATAAATTTTATATGAAAATGATGTAAAGTTTTCAGGTTTATAGCTAGAAGAATATATATATTCATTCTTTGGTAAAGATAAATAAATGAAATTGATATCTGCATGTGAGAAATATATGATATTTAAGATAGTTATAAATTGATTTTATTTTGAAATTTTTGTATCTTGGTCCTATATACTCAGCCCAGACATCAAACTATATATATTATCATCGCATTAAATTTTTCAAAATTTTTTGAAGGTATATCATTTATTGTAATCAAAATTTTTGTGTTATATAAGTCTTTTTTATATTGTTCTTTAATTACATATTCCAATTTATAAGTAATATTTGTCTCTTATTCTTAAATTTAGTTTTGTATAGGAAATTTTATTACATAGCCCATATAATTAGGTTTTGCCATATATGCTTTCTCACATGCAGTAATGAATCCCTATAATTTAGATATAAACCGGATGCTCTGAATTGCATGTCATTATGCCAAACCTAGTTCCTTTATCTACTATTTCATTTGTTTTACATGATTTGTTTTTTTTAAAGTTATTTTTATTAGGAGAGAAATTTCAATTATCAAATGAATTAACCAAAGGACCTCCCTTCCTTCCAAAAACTTCTTCAGATCTTAAATAATTTTTTTAAAAAATATTAAATAAAATTAGGATTGACTAATGATTAAAATCCCATATCTCTATACTTGTGCTCAGTTCAACATAAAAATTTATTTTATCTGGGCCGGTTTGGTCCTGAATATAAAACTCGGACCAGATATATTTATTTATCTTAATAAAAGTAAAATATAATTATAAAAAAAATTTTTATATAATGAAATATACTTTTTTTTAAAAAAAATTTGCGATTTTGATAGACATTTTTAATTATTTATTTTTGTATGAATTTAATTTGGCGAATTTATTTTATTGTCTAAGATTTTTTTGTGAACATTGTCATTATATAAAAAACTCTGAAATATAGTGATATAATTTTTTGATAAGCCTAATCATTATTGTCATAAAAATCAACTTATGAAAATATATATTTATTATTAGAATCTGGATCTAATCAAATGGTTGCACTCTATCTTGGTGTCGTTTTTGCCATTTTCATTGTTGGTGTTATATGTTGAAATTATTCATCACTTGATATGCAAGGTACCATTTCTTTATTTTTGTGAAAAATATATTTTGGTTATAATTCTTACTTTTGTTTTATTTAATAAAAGATTCCATGGTTAATTACGAATATCATAAATGATGATAAAAATATTGTCCATAATACTAACCTCAAAGAATTGAATACCTTTATCAACGATATACTCTGGAATGAAATAGATTCCAATTTCAATGGAAGTTTCGATTTGTTCTTTAAGTCCAATCACCTTAATCCCCTCAAAAATGTTAACACCCAACAAGAAAAAGTAAATTTAAAAAATAACTTTTTGACATTTTTTTAAAAAAAAATAATAATAAACATATAGAACATAAGTATTTCCGATCAACTCTCCGATAACAATCAAAATATGCATCGTCAATACTTTGAGGATAATAAAATTTTGAATCGCAAGAAGGTGATAACACTCATGGTGCCCCCTTTGATATACCCATTTTTTTCTGTCAACAACGGAAAGGAATACTCAAAATCTACTCCCCCCGAAAAAAATAATGTCGGCAATGATTGCCGCGAAAATTTTGACCCCTGGTATTACGCCAACTGCGAAAACATGGAAAGGATCAACTTTTGGATACGCCACTTAATCCCCTCGCAGTGGACCTGCGAAATGCTCAAGCATGAAAAAGATGTCATGGGGGGAAAGTTATCCGTTAGCAACGAGAAAAATATTGATAATTCGAACACCAAAGGTCAAAGCGCCTTGAGTTATGCCCTTCTGACTCTGAGATCCCTGAAGCACCGAATAAGGGAAATAAAGAAAAGCGAACCCGATGCTTACCTCATAATTTGGGGCTGGAATATTGGGTCTCTATTGTCGTGCTATGTATGAAAATAAATATATATTTCTCGTGCATATTTTATTAATACAATTTATTTGTTATACTCTCAAATAGTTAATCTTTCATAAAATTGACTATCTTTGATTTGGAGTTTTTAATTCAGCATAACCATTATATTGTAATTGTAGCTTTTTTAAAAAAATAAATAAAACGTTTTTACCAAATTTAGATAAGTAATAACTTCTTTTTAAAGTATTTCTTCTTGTAATACCAAAAAATATTTAATATCTATTACCATTCTTATTTGTTAAATATATTAACAAGACTTTTTATTGGACTCCAATATAAATTTGATACTAAATTCGCGAATATACCCAAATTTCACTATAATTTTTTTTTATATATTTTACTAATTTATAATTATGTTTGTTATTATCAGGCATGTATCGATATCAAGGTTGACGCCGTCGTTTGTTTCGGGTTTCCTTTTGTAGATTTCAAGGAAAAAATGACGGTACTAAATATCGATTCAAATAATATTTCATTTAATCCTAACCCTTTAAGGCCTTAATTTATAGTTAAAAAAATGCGGTAATGTTCGAGCGGTGCTTTGTTTAACGCGGCGTTTATTCACAAAGTCGAGCCAATAAACAGGTGTAATTTATAAATAGAGCGTTACGATGATAATGCTCCATTTCTTGCATTATTTCAGAAAAAAGTATTAACGCTCAATGTGACATTGCCAACACTATGAAGAATCAGCTGTGATTTCGACGCGTTTACTATAAATTATGGCCTAACACAAATTCTCTAACCTTGATTCCTTTTTTTTAGGACCGCATGTTGAGCCTAAATCTTATCTTTCTAAAAATCTTTCTCGTTGGACCGGACTTGACACTTCTAAAATATGACAGGTTTGATTGGTCGGACAAAAATTATCTCTTGCCAGCTCGGGTGATAAAGAGATCCGTTCGCCCTTGTTAGATTCTATAAGTCCATATTCTTGGCTCTTTTTTTAAAAAAATTAAAAAGAGGCTTGCAATATCTTTTAGATTTATTTGCATATAATTTCTACAAAAGTTGCGACCAAAATTAAAAAATTCGAAAAGTTTCAAATTTTTCTGACGTTTTTAAATTATTTTTATTGTATTTAGGACATGTTTATATTTTATCAGCGACCTACATAGGTACCTCTGCACTGTAAAAAAATATTTTAGGCCCGGTCTGTGTGTTTTTTTTTAAAAATTAAAATACGGGCCGGGCCTGCAGGTCTCTGATTTTTATATTTAAAAAGGGGCCTATTTATTTTCATTAAAAGTTTTCGAAATTTGGAAATTAAAAAAAAAAATCACATTTAGGACACACATCCTTACATAAAATATACAATATTTTATGCATTTTGCATATTAAAATATTTATCTTTCACTATTTGTTGAACAACAAGAGGCCAAATATTATTTTGCAAAAATATTTAATGCCTCAATTTTTTTCCAAGTGGTATATTTAAAATTTATTCTATAGTCAAACAATCCCGAACAGACCAATTTTTGGAATCTCGATAAAATTTCGTCTCCCGTCATATACGTTGTTGGTCAATCGTGCACGCCATCGATAAGCAATGTAAAACTTATAGAACTGCTGAGATCAAAACTGAAAGTTTTCAATTCGCTCATCGTAGTAGGTATATACATTAACGACATATTTATGACGTATATTATAATTTAATATTATATTGACAAATACCCTTATTCCTTATTTCTGTTGGTAATCCAATGGGCGCTAGTCTAGAAATCCATTATTAACTAGGTTGGGTGAGACCGGTTTAGACCACTTTACAGTCCGAAAAAATGAAGTCATCAATCGCATTCAGATCAGCATGAAGCGGTCAGCACCGGTTCCTGGTACCGTCGCTATTCAGAATTTTGAGGATAAGACAAGGCCCTAAGAAAAAAATTTATTGATCGAATATATATTTCAAACTCGATATTTTGGTAATAATCTAACTTGTATCATCACGAATCTGTATCACTATTTTAATAGATACTTGAGATGGACGTGGTTCTAATTTTTTATTCACGGTTCGCCCAAGCGGTGGCAATATTCATGCCCTTTCACGCTTACTTATAAAGATTTTACGCTTTTTTGAATTTATTCTCATAGTTTTTATTTTTCTAATTCCATATTAATAACACAAAATTACAATTTATAAATCAAAATTTTTATTTAGAAATAAAAGAAAGTCCATGTTTTTATTTCAATTGTGTTTGCCTTTCCTCTAATAAGGGATTGGCTATAGCAAATAACTTTTCACTAGAAGTCTAATGTATCGGAGCTGACCAAATTTTACTAGCTAATTTTCTCAAAAATGGAAATGAGATTTTCTGCTAACAAAACTTCAAAATATTGTCATTGTTATTTGTTTTTTGAGCGATGAATCTTATATGTTCATCCTCACAACTTTCTTCAGTAGATGTTTATGCTTCATCAGATCATCTAGAAATTCTCTAAGTGCTACGTTTAGAATATACGATTTTTTATGTCTTCAGATGAATTAGAAAAGTTATAAATGATAGTTGGCATGGCATTGACTTTTGCTTATCATCTAATTTTATATCATTTTGCATTTTTAAGGTTGTTCTATTCCCTTTTCATCGTCTATTGAAAATTAACACTTTTGAAATTCGGATTTAAAATTAAGCCTACCTTAAGTGACTTCATAATAAATCTTTGAAATGTCCTGTATTTTAAGGTTTTATTTATTATTGTATCACCCTCAGGAGGTAAACAAAATTTTACTAATTTTTTTCCCCATAAATAAACTGCATTTATGGTGGAACGAGAATCTACGCTCAGATTATCCAAGCACTCTTTGCATATTGATAAATATTTTAGTTAATATAAATGAAAATAAAACGCATTTAAATTAAATTTATTTATTACCAAAATTTCCATTTCTGAACGAGATTTGAAAAATTTAATTTTTTTTTTCATTCAATTGATAATTTATAACACGGAAAAAATTGTTGTTTATAAAATGCATAGATTTTGAAAGAACTAAATTAAATAAAAAAATATATATTATAATTTTAAAAATGAAAATTTCCTTGTTTCACGGGAAATTTAAGTTCATGCCTGGCAAAAATTTTGGGAAGGCCCGTCACGCCTAATAATTTAAAATTTATTCGCACTCACGCCCTGGCCCATCGTGTCAAATTTTACGGCCCGTGCCCACCTCTAAATAGTTACTGATACCTTTACCGGCTGATATCAAATTTTTAGTTTTCGGTTCCTCCTTTTCAGCTTTAAAAAACAAAATTCTCCTTTTTTTCAAAAAAATTTAAATAAATGTTATGGATCTTAATTGTAAAAATTTTTACAACTTGTTCAGATTGATATAATTTATAATATTTTATTTTAAGAAAATCCAACTCACATTTTATTTTGCAATTTTTAAAAGGCATGGCCCTGGTTTGTATAATTTAAATAAGACCATATATTCAGGTCGGGTTCCGGGCTCAGCATATAAATCCTCTTCCGGTTTATAGAAATTTTAAAAACGGATTCCAGTTTATAGAAATTTTAAAACGGATTTCGGTTTATAAAAATAAAATAATTGAATACATTCCTTTCATTTAAAAAAAATATTAACCATATTTAGATAGAACAAATGAAAATATTATTTTAAACGACCACAAAATCGAAATCTTAGACTTTAACAACACGGCACGACCTACGGTTGAGTTGAATCAAAATCTAGCCGATTATTTTATAGCGTCAGCCATCATTAAAAACGTATATCACCTTCTCACCGAAACAAAAAACGTGTCCAACGAAATTCGGCATAAAAAATTAGCCATAAAAATGCCCTCTAAAATTACCTCCACCGCCAAAACATTCAATAACAATAATTATAGTAGGGGTAATAGAAATAAAATTAAAACAGTCTCAGTTTCTAATAATGTTAAACCAAACGTCATGATAAAAATGAAGAATGGTGATGATGTCAAAGCGATGAACCTTAACAGGAAAGCAAGTGCCGGTAGTAATATAAACCTAAATAAGCCGGTTAAAATTTACGATGGGTCATCTAACAATAATCATATATTACTGAAGCGATTATTTACAAAATAAAAAAATTATTATTATTAAATAACGATATTAATATTTATTTTTCATAAAATTTGCTTTGTCTAATTTAACATTGTAAGTTACATTATGTAAATAATAATAAAAATTGTTATTCTTTTTGTATTATTGAATTTCATAATGGATAAATTTAGATTTAGCATTTTTTTTGGTAAAGTTGCAAAAACATATGATACATTACAATCTAATACTTGTTTTCAACCATACTTAATGAAGTAGTTTATTTAATGTTTAAAAGTAAAATATATTTTTTTAGAAATAAATAAGAACATCAATTTAAGTCTAATATAGTTTGGGTACACTCGGACAACGTAAATATCTATGTAGTCGAATCTCGTAGTTCTTTTATTTTGACTAATTTCATAGATACTCAGGCTAAAAAAAACAATTGTCTCATCAAAATGTTGCTAAGATTATTTTTAATTTATTATGAAATGTAATAAATACCATTTACTTTACAATATTGTAGAGGAGCGAAGAGCGAGCGTCCCTTAGAACGCCTATACTCCAATCAGCTCCTACGTGCACAAAAATTGCGCTTCCGGAATCTCTTGATGGCGATTCCGAAGCGAAAACCCGCCTATATGAAAAAATAAATATTTTTCCACTTTAAAATGGCGGTTAATGTGTTCCCGCTTGCTCCATGTATTTCCCCGGAAGGAAAAAGAGCAGAAGCCCTTTTTTTGAAATCTAACGTTACAAAGCTTCGTCCCATATATCGCCATTTATTTCGCGCACGATTATAGTTTTTTCTGAGAGGTTTGTGCCGATATTTTGTGTGATGACGATTCTATTTTTGGAGAGTTTTGATTACGTTGAAAGGGGTTGTTGGTGAAAAGAATTATAAACAATTTAGTCGGGTAATATTTACGCGCCAGATGGGGTTATAATATAAAATGATATAGCTGATACCTAACCGCCATCTATTGCGAAAAAATTATTATTTTTTATTTTAAATTCTCAAAAAGGTATTGGAATAAAAAAAAGCATCAATACTAAATTTTTTAAAAATAGTTTCATTCTAAAAAGAAAATAACCCCCCCCCCCCCTTTTTTTTTATAGTCTTTTTTAATGTCTTCATAGATCATATATATATATTATATATTTCTTTTTTTTTATATTTAATTTTTAATATATCCATTTTAATATATATTTTTTAATCCTCTGTAATTTTAATGAAAATCAAAAAATAAAATACAGTTTAATATAAAAAAAAAAAAATTTAAGAGATTATCATAAGTTTGAAATATGAGAAATGACAGAATCTGGGCCAAAGGATTTTAACGACAGCTTATTGTCGGTTCTGATTTTAACCGGTCCATTTTATGTTTTCAGTATAGTGATATATACCATAAAATGGCTCTCTTTTCATAAGAAAATATTGATTTACTGGATAATATAAATCTTCCGAAGTTCATATCTCTATTATTATTATCATCATTTATATAACAGTTACCCTTAGTTTAAATAATATCATCGTATTAACACTATATTAGAAAGTTTATTTAGAAGAACCCAAAATTTTCATTTGTGAATGGTTTTCGAATTGGATCGATTATTAAAATCCGGGGATTATACCTATTTCCAAGACCGGTAAATTGAACTTAACTTATGTTTAAAATGTACAATATAAATTTTGATTATCATCCAAAATCCAAGTTTGTAGCTATCCGAACCCGATTCCAATTTATAAGTCTATTGTGTTAGAGTTTGGAGACAAAACCAGAAAACATGGAACTCTTCCGTGTTACATCTAAAAATTCTTTAGGAATTGGAACCGTCTAACTCGGATTAAAATATGAAATCATTTTTTAAAAATTTGGATGTAAAACAATAGATTCGATTATTATCTCTTTTTTTTTTAAATGTAGAAAAGATATTTTTGATCAAAATTTTATATGAAACTACAAAAATCAATTTAAAAAAAAATCTTATAATTAATCACGCATAATAATCTTTCAAAATGGAATAAAAAATAAAATAAACTCTTAAAAATAAGTAGATCTAGTGAGTTAAAAATACATTTTAAAAGACAAATTTAATGATCTAAAAGTATATAAATGTAATAATTACAAACATATAAAAGGGTAAAAACTTCTTTAACTTTTAAATAATTGGATAAAAGAATATTTTAAAAAATCGATTTTGTATAAATAAATACTAGAACGAGAGAATGTCTCTTTATAATTTGGTTTTTTATCTATTTAAGCGGAATGTTACATTTATGAAATACTTACGTTATATTCTGGTAATCTCAAAACTCATATAGGCATATCAAGTCTAGACCCTCCAAAAAAGTTTTCAAATCTTTGTCCCGGCAATTCATACTCCATATTATTTTTGAAGGTTCTAGTCATTTAATAAAATTTTTCAAAAAATCTAAAATTTAAACCCTCTTTTAAAATTTAGAGGAACCAGTTCTAGCAAAAGTGCAAATAATTTATATTGCATTATATAAACATTTGTGGGATTCATTTTAGATGGTTTATAGGAAAATCGCCTGAAGCGCGTCATATTTATGAATCGGATTATTTACCTACTCGAGGAAAATGGGGAAAAAAAATTAAGCACCGAAGGAAAACAAGAAATTTTGATTTCTTTTTTTAAAAAATATACGCTTCGCTAGGCAGAACGCGAACAATGCATTACAAATGATATCGTGCAAATTGATAACAATTATGAATATTAATAAAAAGTCAAACTAGTTTGCTTCTTTTTTTTCGAAAACGATCAATTAGGTCGCACCATTAAAATATTTTTACCGATAATCAAAGTCCCGCCGCTTTTCAAAGTTGGGTCCGAAAGAAATATATTAAATCAATGTAAGGGGCAAAACCAATCACTGAGTCGGATTTCTTATTTATTATTGAGAAATCACCAACAAATACAAAATTTATTTTTATTAATTTAAAAAATAGTATCTTTTTCGTATTATATTAACGAACGCGAAAGTAATAAAATTGATAATATATCGATAAAATAAAATTAATCTTATAATTAGTTAATTACAATTCGAAAAAAGAAAAGATCATTTCCCTATGGGGTTTTTCATTGCTCTCTAACTTTAGGTAACCTCGTTTTTAAAAAAATGATTATATTAATAAATAAAAAAAAGCATAACATATAATTATTGGTATATTTTGTATTTTAATTCTTACTTATTTAATCATACTTCTTAAATTATCTAATTTAAAGTAGGTTGAAATGTCGATGGTATTTGATCAGTTCCCAATTTGCAATGCTAGGATTTAAATTTAAAACTATTAAGAATACTATGAGAGCATCATCCGCCGGCTAGAAAATTAAAAACTTAGAGAGCTCAATGTCTCATAGTTTAGGAGCTTAGGAGACAAATTTTCTAATTGACCCCATATTCGGGATGCGGTGACAATAAGACCGGGGCGAGATAGTTCTAGGTGAATTAGAAACAGGGTATTACATTTAATATGTAGCATAAGTCAAGAAAAATCTCTTATAAAAAAAGTTATTTATAATTATATTTCCATTACTTAAAAAAGGGCTAAAAAATTAATTTTTGCCTATATCTCTTGATCATTAAGCTCTGCCCAGAGGGCTCTGTAGCCCGACCCATATTTAGGTTCACAGTGCGGGTACAGCTCTGGTACATTTTCGGCAATTTTTTAAATAAAATACTCCCCATCTTTTTATAAAAAACAGATTCTAATTCAATTAATACTTATCTTTTGTAGGAGTCTGACTGATGAAACTAACAAGAACATAAATATTTAACCTAATTTCATAAATATAGAGAATTTCTACTAGTTTAGAACTATTCGTCATCTGGCTAGATTATCAAGACTCCAAAGGAGTATAAAATATCTTATTTATTTTTTAAACGTACTAATATGGAAAAATAATCAATTGAATTATCACGTCTTCGTAGAAATGAAAATATTTTGATGTGAGAAATATTTGTCAGAAAATGATGTATTCTTGCATAGCTATAGGGAAATTATTTATTTGTATAATCTACAAAATTCTTCTAAAGGTTTCAGGTTTCATATCAAGTTTAAAAGATTCGAGTCAAAATTTAGTGAAGGTTTGAAAAAAAAGTCTCTTGAACGCGTGTGAGCCCAGTCCGCAACCTCTCCTAAGCCATCTTTTATCTTGACCACCGTTTATTTACAATCAGGGTCTTGAACCTAAAAAAAATTTTTAAAGGGTTTATTTTAGAATCGGGATCAGGACAAAATTAAATTCTGAATCGAATTCGTTTCCAAGATGGCGGGTTACGCAAAAAAAAATTCAATATTATAATTTGTATTTTAGATATTATTTATTTAATGTATGAATAATAATGATGATGATATAATTATTGTATTTGTACTATTATTATTATTATTATTTATTAATAATGGAACTATAAATATAAATATCGTTTCACAGCTGATTATAATGATGACTATTTTAGCATATTGTATAATATAAGAATATTAGAAAAATTGTAAAAATAGATAAATTAAAATAAAAGATTTTTATTATTTTTCTTCTATATTTTAAAAATAATGTTCAGCATTTTTTTTTTAAAAAAAATCATGATTATAAAAATTGAGTTTTTTTTTTGTAATATCAAAAACAATATTTTTTTTAAATATAATTTGAAAATATTTTTAATAAAAAAAAAAGACCAGGTGATTAAAACATTATTATTGTTATTTTTTTTTAAAAAAAAAAATTTGAATATTTAAAAAAAAAACGATAATATAAGAATTACGAAATGTTACGTTTTCATTTATAATCTTCTGTTTTTAATTGTAAATTATCAAGAAATCGTCGGTCTTAGAATTTGGAGTAGTCCAGTCGACATTCACAAAATGTTTGAGTTAGAAGTGGATAATAACTTATTTATTGAAAAAATATTAATCTTTGTCTCTGTCAAAATTGATCAATAAGCTATTACCTATTTTTGATTTAAAACTTTCAATGTTGATTTTTCTCATTTTAAACATTTGCGTAAGTGGAGCACTCCAATTCTAGGCCGACGAAATAAAGAAAGAAAGAAAATATCCACAGATTTTATTCACGGATGGAAAATAAATTTTTTAATTTTTTTCTAGTGGATAAATTTTATTAATTTGTGTTTTTGCATTTATATATTATTTTTCTCTCATCATTTGGCAATACCACAAAAATTGATTAAAAGCCAGTGTTGTTAAAACGGCACAATTTTAACCGATTTTTAAATCTAGATTTTATCCCAAAATAATATCACGCATGCGCCAAGATATCGTTAACAGATGTCCAAACCTTTCTGCCATCCACTAGCAAAATCTCCAGGCTTTCGTGATATTTTTTAGCTAAAATATTGGAATTTTTTTTTGAAAAAAATAATACCGCGACAAAATGTTAAAGAAAATATTTTTTTTAAAAAAAGTATAATTCCTATTAGGGCTTATATAAATAATATAATGTATAAAAAATAGGATGAGCTTAAAAAAAAAATAAATATGAGAGAAAACAAATTGATTAATACTTTTTTTTAAATGTAATAACTTAAAATGATTATTTTTTTCAAGCTAGGAGAAGATTCTTCAAATTTTTATCGAGAATCGTATTCTTAACGGCGTTAAACACTCGTTCGATATTGTGTGTATCTATAGCGGTGGTGTGATGATGAAACAGTGGTCTCTCCTTGTCCCTCCTGACGCTGAGAAAGGAGTCCAGTATGGATTTCTGAATATTTCTCAATCGGCCCTCGGTCTCCTGATCACATCGTTCCTCGACGCTATCGCCACCAGCGATAATAGCGCCGTTACCAACATGACCGTTATCAAGATGGTCGTTATTAATGAGTTTATCGGCGCTGGCAGAGGAGACTTGGTTCTGCTGCAAAAGTATGTTCCGCTTCAGCAGGTCGGTTTTGTTGAGGAATAGGATGATCGAAACGGAGCTGAAGAAACGATTGTTGACGATGGTCTCGAATATGGCTCGGGCTTCGTCCATTTTGCTCAACGGCAAGTTGCCGCTATAACTGGTCCTTTTATGGCCATCGAAGCTTTTCGGAACTTGGTTCACGTCATTATTCGTTTTTTCTTAATTATTAATTTTGGGTAAACGGGTATATACGCAAATCTAAATATAGATAAATTATCGGCAATGTGTGGCCTAATAAAATTCTTTGAAATTTAATAAAAAGATAAGTTATTATACGCAAGTTGAAATACATTTTCCGATAAATGATTGATAAAATATACGGACTCAAATGTGGAAAAATAATATCGGCCGCTTAAAAAACCGGTTAAACTTAGTTTTTAGCCAAAAAAAAACTATCACCTCGGTCTGTGTTTTTTTTAAAAAATAATATTTATATGTTAGCGTTAATGTGTTATTTTTTTTCATCATTTTTTTGAGGCGCAAAATCAGATTTTACAGTTCCATCATGTTTGGAATACCTACCCTATGAATTTCGAACAAATATTTCCGTGAACTTTTAAACTTAATATAATTTATAGTAGATTTTCCGTATATATTTTTTTTATATAAATTATAAATGACACAAAGGTTAAGAACAAAATTGTCTACAATTCATAAGATAGGTATTCCAAACATGATAGAATTGTATTTCCGGTAAAATCCGATTTATAAATTTTTAAAAAGCGCTCAAAAAAAATTTAAATTTGTAAAAATAACACATTGACGCTAACATAGAAATATATATAGCTCAACTTTGAAAGAAATCAAAAATAAATTAACAGGAGCCTCAACGCTCGACCGGTTTTGTAATTGAACCGAATTAGGCTGTGTTCATAGTGGGATCTGAATCTGACATGATATAACAGCTGATCGATTTTTGTAATCTGTTTATGAGATCAATTTTTCTTTAAAATAATATTAATTTTATCTATAATTCTATTTAATAATTTAAGAGATATTGATTTTAATAAGGAAAAAGTTGTCCCATAAACAGTTTTAAAAATCGATCAGCTGTTGAATCGTGTCGGCCATAGCCATTACCTAACTATTCCTGATTTCGTCTAAAATGTATTCCAGTGGCCATAGACTTTAAGAGTCATTTTTTAATTTACATAAACAGCCAACACACGGATTGGCTGGAATATTAATCGGACAATTTTTATCCTAAACCATTAATATAAGGTTTACATACTATGATGACTATGTTTGGCAATGAACGTAATTAGGCCATATAAATAAATTATCTCCATATGGAATTTGGCCACGTCTAAATTATATATAAAAAATAATGATAAAAATTAAAACCTAGTTGTTTAACGTTTGTGATTGGGCAAGAGTCGCCATTATTATTATCGCCGATAAGAGCCGATTGAAAAATGGAAGAAGAATCTATGATGAATATGATGGACGTGACACCTTCAAAACATTGCACCCATTTTTGTCTTTGAGATCGTTGGCCTCCTACATCCACGAATCTATTTCATCAAATTAATAATAAGTACCATTCCATGTAATAAAATAAGACAATTGTTTTTTTTAGATGTAAATATAATATACTAATTTAATTTTGTTCTATTAACAAAAATTTTATAGAGTTTTTTTTAGAATAATTGTTTCCAAATAATAAAAATTGAGCTAAAATTTATATACAACTTTTAGTTATATAATCATTCATAATTTTTTAATATATATATATATATGAGAGGTCAAAAAGTAAAGGCAAAATTTCTATAAAAAAATAATTTTTTTTATTATTTTTAAACAAAAATATTGATAATTTTTAAAAAAATCATTTTAATGGTGCTGAAATTATTGAATGAAGATGGATAGGTATTTGCCCGGTTTCAATTTTTGAAAAATTTAATATATATATTTTAAATATAATTTACAATTGTCTACGGCTTTTTTAAACTTTTAAGCGTTTTTTGAACTTTTTTTTCCCAAGCCTTGAGAAAATGTTATAAAATGCTGGTTTATTTATAAATTTTCGTACAAAAAAAATTGTAAAATATTTGTCGATATAAAATTGAAAAAAAAAAAATTTTGAGGAAATTTAAAACAAACAATAAAAAAAATTAGTGGTAATTTTCTTATTATATATATTAGAGACCTGCAGAAATACCAATTGCATGGCCCGGCCTAACGTTGTAAGATATGATATTTCGGCCCGGTCAGGATTATTCGGTCTGAGCCAGATTTTAAAAATTATTTCAACCGGACCGTGTAACTGCGGGCTTTGGTCCAGGCTTGAAGGTCTCTCTTAAGCTATGCTGAATATAAAAGTGTATATGTCGTCGGGGCATAGGTAACCGGGATTTAGAAATTTTTTTAAAACAATTTAAATATTGATTCGTTCCTCATATTTTCGAAAACCGTTTAATACAGCCAAATTTAAATGGAGCAAGGCTCAGTGATTGATCTTATCCTAAAAGCAGTGGTCAGTTTAAAAATGCAAAAAAATAAACAAGCCTGAGCTAGTCCCAAAAAATGGTCACTTCTGCAGGTCCGTGAATATTTTTCTTTATTATTTAAAATGGAAAACCTAAAAGGGTGTCCGTGGATGTCTATCACGTGTTCTACGATACATTTTGTTGCTTTTCGACAATGCAATATATCATCGTTGGTCGGAACGTAACCCTATAAGTAATGTAACAATTTCTCATACATGTCAATTAAATTTAATATTTTTTTGTTATTATTTTATTAAATTAATTATCTAAAAATTATATTTATATTTTAAAAGGTAAAAAAAAAGAATAATAAATAATTTTGGATAAATTAAATAACAAAAAAAAATTCCATAGAACCTAAAATTAAATACTTGACCTGTATTAGAGATTTTAAAAATAAATCTAATTCAAAAATGGCGGCCCAATTTTTTAATTTAATTTTTATTAGATCTCTTCATCAGATCTATTTTTCTTTAGAAATCAAAGTTGGATTATTAAAAAAAAACATGTTATTTTAACGAAATAAGAAAAATTATAAGCACTAAAGGATAATATAGTGTTGTAAAAAACCGATTTTGGCAGATTTTTAAAAATGGTCCGATTAAGATGTATAGCCAAAATAATATGTAAGACTCGATGCAAAATCTCCCCCCCCCACCTGTGTACGTGCCTGTAACTGGAGATTTAGATATCTCATAGGTGCATAAAAGTTTGGACTTCTATTTTCCAAATAGAGTCTTACATATTATTTTGGCTAAATTATTAATTGAGCTATTCTCAACCACACTTGATAATAAATAATTTTATAGTTATTCTTGAAAATCATTTTCATAAAAATATTAAGAAAACATAATCATTTTAAAAGTCCAGGAATAATATCTGTCCAAGTCTAACCAAGATGATATGCATTTCATGCATGGTTCTAAATTTTTACAATTATATCTGTGATAAATATTGAATTTTATATGTATACATGAGTTAAACAGTATACTATTCAAAATAGTTTATTCGATGGAGTTGGTGTATTGGCCAATCTAATTGTATTAGTTGATATCAGTATTGGACAATACTATCTATTTTAAAAGATATCAATATCTCAACCCTTAGATATTTTTCAAATACAAATTATTAAACAGATAAGAAACAAAGCAATTAAAATAAAATATTAGGCTTAGGATCCATTAGTCTTCATTTCCACAAAAAATATTTTCCGATTTTTAATCTAAGCTAATCTTTCAATTTTAATGAAGGTTGTGGTTGTAATTCATTCTTCAAAAGTTTATTCTTTATAATAGTTATTTCTACAATTAAATCTTAAAAGGAAACACTTGGTGTTATTTAAAAGTAAATAAACAGTAAGATGAAATTGTTTTTAAATTTAACCACAAATGTAGAGAAAATTTAACCAGTGTTTTAAAAAATTATTATCCAGTATAATAATGTAATTTAAATATTATATTTATTTTTGTCAATTAATTTGAAAAAAGCTGGTCATAACCCATGCATGAAAATCTGATTATTGAACGATTTATATTAATATCAAAATTATTACATGTCTTGCGATCCTGTCTAAATTTTCCATGAAGTATACTATTCCATCATTCTATAAAAAAATAATATTTTAATAACATAATAATGATACTACCATTTGATATTGAGTCTTGTATTCAAAAATATGCATAATGGCATTATCTTGCCATATTTTTTTGATGATAATAATCAAATTTACAAACATTTCTTCATTTATATCAACTAAATTATCAAAATTAAGAATTGTCTGAGAACTAACTTCATTCATTTTATGTTCCCATGGAATATTTAACTTTCTTCTAAGATCTAAAAACAACTTTGCACCTTTAATAATATTATGATATATTGTTGATCTATATTCATCGATATCTTTAGTATTAAATTCAATTCCATTAATAATCTTCATCTGCTTCATAAATGTACTTTTACCACTTTCTCCTGGGCCTAAAAGAAGCAATTTTATTTGCCGCTTATACTCTTTATTATCTTTTTTTATTAACTTATCTATCATTTTACTTTTTGATTTAGCCTCACTTTCGGGATTAAAACAAAAGTTACAATTAAATGCCATAAAGTTTGATACATATAATATATTTTATATCATATGTTTAAATATCATTATTTTGTATCCTCGAAGAATTAAATATTAGAAAGCCATTCTTCACTGCCGTTAATTTACAAGACAATAATTGCCATAATAAATTTATTTATCCTGTCTTTATTTAAGCTAATGAGATAAATAGCTTAAACTAATATACGTAAATCTAAGTATAATTTTATATATACAAAACACAGAGTTGGGCAGTACGAATATATGTAACTTTTTTAAAATTTTGGAAGTATCTTGTATCTAAGATACAAATTATGTCTGTATCTTAATCAACTTTGTATTGTATTCTAAAAGATACGGACACTTAAAAAAATTTTTTAGTTAATTTAAATAGTATTAAAATTTAAAATGATATTATTCATGAAAAATTTAATCCGAATTTGAATATTTTAAGATAATGTATGATATATGGCGCTGGTTTTCCTATATCTAATTGCAAGCAACTACTATTTTATTTGAACGTTTTATATCCATCTATTATAAAATAATGATTGAAGAAGAAGTTAGAATAATACCTTTATCTTTGTCAGATAATCAGGGCCGTAGCCAAGGGAAAGTGGGGGGGGGGGGGGGGGGAGGCCAGGTCTCCAAAAAAAAATTTCTGGCCCCCAAACCTGGCCCCCAGAAAAAATCTTTGGCCCCCAAAAATTTTTTCGCGTACCAAAAATTTTTTATAATTGATTATTTTTATATTTTAAAAATATATTTAAAATATTTATTCAAAAAACCTGTCTTGTTAGTAAATTTCTTTCTATCCTGTTTTATTTTTATCCAATAAAAAAATCATCATTCATTCATATTTTATCATTTTCATGTGTGTTTGTATATAACATTATATAGGCGCTTAATTATAACGTTTAAATTGTAAATGATAATTATTTTATTTATTATGGTTAAATCACAATATTATCATCTTTTGAATGTCTCTGATATTGATCTGGGTGCAAATCATAAAAAACCGGGATTTTCTGAAACTAATCAAGTGATTGCTCAAGGCTTGATATATATATATATATATATATAAATCTAAGGAAACAGATTGATACCGATTCGTAAATATTTATTAAAATAAAAGGTTATTATTTAATTTTTATAAAATTTGGTAATTATTGTGCAGTGTTGCTAAACAGCTCAATTTGGACCGATTTTTAAAAATGATCTGATTAAGATCTTAGACAAAATAATATTATCTAAGCACGATATAACCAGTTATTTAAAACAGCGGCGAATATTTTAGCATTATAAAGAAAATAGTGAGATAACAATTTTGGTAAGCCAACAAATTAACCTTAATCTTTACTATCTTAAATCAAGTTAATGATATTTCTTAACATACAGTAGCTACCTTTCCGTGAGACTGGTTCAACAAAAATTACGGATGCTGCAAATGTAGAAAACATAATTTATTCTTTCTGAACTATTTATATCAAAGTTTTCATACATCATCCAAAAAGATCCTGAATTAAATAAAATATACAAAAATACGCGATATACATCACCCAGATTCAAAACGAAGTAGTATCTATTTAGGCAGATATGATGCTTGAATATATTTTAGATAAATATAACAAAAGTGAGATGTCTTTTATTGGCTTGAGGGAGACAAAAGATACATAAGGTTGTGAGAACCTGAACATAATTATTTATATTTTTCTGGAGAAGTCCAATAAAATTTAATAGGGATTATTAATTTACAGTGTCTTTCTGCTGAAAGCATAACTATTTGCATTGTAAAGCAACTTAAAATATTAATTCAACGAATATGATAAACCAAACATATGATGGTGCAAAGGTTATGTCTAGCCGAAATAGAGGAGTGCAAACCCTACTTCAAAAAAAAATTAATAAAAAAGTTCCTTTTATAGCTACAACCACATGGGCTCAAATTTGTATAATAATATTGTTATCATTTCTAATTTTTTTAAAATATTCAATGCATTGCATAATTTTTTAGGCGGTTTAACGTATCATGTTAATATGCAGGCCATACTCTTAAGAGACTTTTCGACCAGAGCTGGAATGGTCATTTAGAAACATCTCGCATTATATATGTTAATTTTGAAGCTACTGGTAATGTATTAGTTTACTTTTCCAATGGAACTCTTAATTCAGAGGTTTCCACTCATGATTCTGTCGAAGCCTCTGGTCTTTAATCTCAATACGTTAATATAAATCACTTTATATTAGCCATTATAATTTATGAGATAATAACAATAGATCCACTATATAAGTATCTAAGTAGGTACTCATCAAGTGGATGCTAAAAATTGTATTGATTCCACGTTCAATATATTAAAAAATATAAGAATAAAGGCTTAAAAACTTTTAGCAAAATTTAATCTCACTCCCCACAAATCGTCAAGCGTACGTAAAACGCCTCTAAATTTCCAAATTTTTTCAATCGAAACCAAATTACAATTCGATTGCGAAAAAGAATGGAATTATTATGAAATTATTGATTACTTTATTGATAATTTTTAGATAGATTTACACAAGATGATTATAAAATTCTACTAAGTTTTAATGCATTGTCCCCCTTTGATAGTAATTATTTTATATCGGACAAAATGGCCCGATTAGAATAATTATTAAACTTAAATATAGAAACTTTAAATCATGAAAAGAAAATAGCTAAAGGATTATTAGGTGCAGAAGTTAAAGAAATATATAATTTTGAAAATATCCTAAATATTATGTACAAAAAAAATATCATTATGCATTTAGAGAATTGTATAAATGCTACTCAGCGGCCATCATCATTGGGGTACCAAAGGCTTTTTGTGTGGCTTCTTTCTCTATAATAAAGAGAGTTCTATCGATCACAAGAGGGTTGATGAAAGATCAAAGTAAGCAAAATTTAGTAATGATGGCTTATGGAAAAAAATTACAAAATTTATCCTTTAATTAATTTATGTTAAAATTTAAAAATAAAAATCGTCCTATTATATTATAGTATTATTTTGTATGTTCATATTATAGTATTATTTTGTATTCATTTAACATTAATAATTTTTTAATAAAAATAGCAAAAAATTTATATGAATGCTCAGCGTCTATATGAGCGGGAGGGGTAGGAACAGTTTGCATCCTATTTTTTGAGGGGGTAGGGGGTAAGCTGCCTCAATGTGGGTAGGATAAATTTTTTGGGGGGTTATCTATTAAATTTTGAGATGAAATAGGACAAAATTTATTGCTGTAAAAATTATTACTTTATATATTGCAAACAATCATACACATTGTTTTCCAAATAAACTATCCTTTTAAATGTAATTTAAAAGGTTTAGATATTTCAGCAAGCTCATAATGCCATAATAATTAATTCATTGTAAATAATGGAGGTTTTAATTGAATTTATTATCTAAAAAATAAATTATTTATATTCACAAAATATCGATAGTTGGTAGTAGAGATAGATTAATTTAAGTTATCCTTTATAAATTCTTTGAAAAGAGTATCAATAAATAGGTGAAAATAATGATAAAGAAACACCGCCGCCAAAGGCGGTGGTAATTTTTATGGTAGGCAAAGGTTTTTGAAGGGGGTTTGCATCCAGTGAAAATCCTGTCAAGTAAACGCTGGATATACAACCAATTTTAAATGAATTACCACTCCACCAGGCCTTCTATTTAGAAACTATTTAACATGCCCAAGATCCGATATGCTATGAGTTCACGCACAACATTACATTTCATTACAAAGATTTGCTGCTCAAGAATGAGTTACACATCTATACAATGCTGGAGGATATCATCATTATAAAATTTTCCAACAAATCGTGATGCTAGGCCTCTCATCCTGGTAAAAATAGTGGATCATAATGAAGCCTTTTATTTCAAACAAGCTATTACTATAGCTATTTAACAAAGTAATTGCATTCGTATTTATGGTTACATATAACAATGCAATTTAAAGAAAAATTATATTTAAAAAAAACTTATTTTAACCAGAGGAAATCGTACCAATGTTTTATGCATCGATGAAAATAAAAAGGAGTTAAGAATGATATTTAAATAAAAATTATAAATAAAATATATGTTAAATTACTAATTCATTAAAACTGCAAATTACAACATTTATCTCTCTATTATATTGCATTTTTTTTTATAATTCCAAAATCTGTCTAATTTCCAAACCCGAAATATTCCATTGATATCTACATATATTCAATTTTGTACAAAATAAAAATTGGCGCGGAATATGCTTTCTAAAATTTTACCCACTAATCTCTTTTTACCAAATTAAAATTTTTTGACAAAAAAAAGAAATCTAAATTTGCAAAGCGAAAGGAAAACAAATCAAACACCCCCTACTCCCTCCAACTTTAATAAAATGACGTTAGTATCTTCACAACTATATCTCACCCCTGTAATTTCAATTCGTTTAATGTCAATCTATCCCTTCTCTCCTCCTTCCGAGTAGAAATCATAAGGAATATGAGCAAACCTAATCTATTACAATCACCTTTTCCCTTTAAAATTTTAGTAAAGGTTTTTCCCCTAAATAACACAGACCTAAATGTCTATATCCAAATTACAATATACTTTTTATCTAGGCATAGGCATATATTAAATTCGTTTATAGTATCAAACAAAACTCGGGAAAAGATTAACCAAATGACCAAGAAAAAAACAAAAGGCTATAAATGATGAAAAACTCTCCTTCATTTTTTTTATCCCTAAATTTTAAGTTTTCATTTGGTTTTACCATAATTACAACATTACTTAATTTATAAATAAATATAGCGTCACATTGATTCATAAATTTATAATATTTATTCATTTGAATTATGCAGAGGTTTAAATTATTTACGTTACTACATTATCCGAAATACTTTCAATACTACTATTATACGCTTTCTCGTCAAATGGAAATGTTCTATTTAAATATTTAAGATCCTCATATGCTTCATGGTCGGAATACTTCCAAGTTGTGAAATCCTTCATGTCATAGGTAACTTTTTGGGATTCGCTGTCAAAAGTATACTTAAAT